TATGAAAACTTGTAACTTATTTTTCACACTCTGTTTGCCAAAATTAACAATAGGTTAATTATTTTGTCTTGCTAATTCGACTTACAATCTACTCTCAGTCATTTATCAACTTTGATGGGATTGACTTCTTCTTCTATTTCTTGTCCTACTCTACAAATATGAGTTAATGTAACAACCAAGAGGTACCAATTTCACAGTTATGTTGACAAAATTTTACAGAGCAGTTCTTATACTATAATTGCTAACTCACTGCGTGTTATAGTTATCTAACTTCATGTCCAAGTAGACTCGCAAAGTCAAACTTGTAACCTTTTTCCACATTGAGTATGCCAAGCTAAATTCATTTTGCCTACTCTGTTTAGATTGTCGTCTAGTACCCCAGCTATCAAGTTTCAAATAGTCAACCTCTTCTTCTATTTATCCTGTGATTATGCAAATACGAGTTAACTAACAAACAATAGGTAGCAATTTCACAGTATGTTCATGCAATATTACATATCAGTCCTGCTACTGTAACTGCTAACTAACTCCATGTAACAGTTATTCAACATAGTGTCCAACCCCACTACCTAAAAAAACTTGTCTGCAATGCGTCTACCAATCTGAGTGTCATGTTATTTTACTCCGCATAATAATTTTACTCCTCGTCATTATTTATTCATGTGAAATGTCTCTTATACAACATGTTGTAAGAGGCATTTTTAAGGGAATTATCTTTGTAATACTTTTTTTTTTCACTTTGTATGTTGCCATGAATAGCATGTACAAACCACACATAAAGTATAATTTGCATGCAGGCACTGCTAATCAATAAAATCTATAAGAAATTCATAGAAACAACCAGTACCCTTGTTATATTATTACCCAAGCAATTTCCCATCCTATTCACACGATTTTACAAACACTTGGCACACTAAGTTTTCCCCACCTACCCTCCCCTATATTAGCCACCAAAATACCTACCTTCTTCTACTCGAGACTAGTGAACAGTTCGTTCCACCAAAACCACTAATGATCAATTAACCTATTCACTCACAACATTGTCCAACAATGACAACTACTCACATTGCTCCACGACCTTGTCAAATTTCGAAAGTTATGTGATACCATTGTTGTTTTGTTACCTGGGCGTTTCGTGCTTTATCTCTTCTCCGGATGTGAAACTTTGCTCTTCTATCGCTACTTCTTCCTTTTTCTTGCTGTAATATACCTCATCGCAATTGTATTTCCCTTGCTTTCCCCTATCCCTAGTCTGCCTCCAATCACTTTCTTGTTCTGCCTCCAGCCACTTTCTTGTATTCTTTGTTTGCTTTCATTTTCTGGTGTTATGGACAAATGAAAATTGGCAATTGTCGTGGAGGGAAAACAAATGACCTCTTTGTTTGACGATTCATTTGCACGGGATTTTGTGGAACGGAGCTAATGCTTCATGACGAGGTCCGTCAGAAGCGTCAATTTCTTTTTTCCATTACTAATTTATGTGACGTCATTTTTCCACCTTCCCAAAATTGGTCAACGTGATTATTTCTAATCCTTTCGCTTGGGATTGTGAGGGGACCCTTCAGGGACAGTCCCTACCCCATATCCACCCCGTATCCTTGTACCTTGAAATTTTTTTTATATAGAAAAAAAGCTCAAGGAAGGTTAACTTCCTGTATACACACAAGACAGAGTTTGAATCATTTATCTGATGTAAGAAAAGATCTTAGAATTAAAATATAATATACAACATTTGACAATGCATTACATTTAACTATTTGTGATTGACTAATAAGAAGTACGATTGTAAGACGTCAATTGAAGTATTAGTTTTTTGGAGATTGGAACTATTTCAATTACTTAAATACACAACATAAAAAGGTATATATATATATATATATTTTTGTCGGCAACGGTAGATGCTCTATAATCTAATTTAGCCTAATCTAGGAGGAAGGGATAAGGGGAGATGGTCAACTAAGACCAGCCACATATTGTGGCAAATTTAAGAGAGGCAGGATAGAACCCCTGACCTCCAGCATCACCAAAGAGGATGATGACCATTGGACCAAATGGCCAGTGACAACATAAAAAGGTATATCCACTAATGAAAATATCACCCAAAAAAGCAAGAGCAATGTATAGCATGTTAACCAAACACCTTTAGAATAGTTGACCACCAACAAAAATCTTAAGACTCTTCTTGCATTCATTTTCAAAATTTTCTAAAAATTTCGCCAACAAGTACAAAAATATCCGTTTGATCTGATGATAGTTTAGTTTTCTCCAAATTCTCTCTTAACCCATTTGAGCCCACCCCTCCTCCTTGGTATAGAGTAGAAATACAAATAGAATAAAAAAACTATCGTGTTGACAATATCTACCAACTAGATAAGAGAACAACTCAAGTTCTCCATTGATGCCAAGTGTTAAGGTCTCATTTGAGGAAACAAATTTCATTTCTTTATTTTGGACATTAAAGAGAGGGAAATGTCTATTTGAGCCTTGGTATCCAAATTCAAAGGCTTAATAGTTCCTTACTATTTAGGGGCTAATTGGTAACAATGATTTAATTATTTTCATTTGTTCCTTTTGTTTGGTTTTTAATTGGTCAGAAAGGTCAATTGAATCCTTTTATGAAAACTAGCTCTTTAAATAGTTGCTAACTATTTAGGGCTATTTTGGTACATTTCAAATTATTTCTTTTATAATTTCCTGGTCAAATGCAAATAGTTGTGGACTATTTATGGACTCCTTTGATCACATGGGTCATTTTTGAATTATTGATTGGAATTAAAATATTGTTGTGTCATGCTAGTTTTTGCTCTGTCATGTAAGTTAGTCAACACCACCTAATGATCTTATTAGTCAGTGAAGTGAAGTTCCTTTCCCTTTCTTTCCGTCGGATAGGTAGCCAGAATTTGCTTCCCCTTTCTAATTGTCCTTCTTGCAAAATCTTCACTTTTCTACCAATTCCTCCAACAACTAATTGTCTTTCTTTTTGATTGCAGCCCAGAAAATCCTCGACATGCACGTGAAGTTTTCTTTTGCCCGAAAATTCAGCTCAGTTAAATTTCTCTTCCCCCAAAATCTATCATCCTGCAAAATCTTCAGTTTTCTATCAATCCTCCAACAACTAATTGTACTTTCTTTCGATTGCCACCGAAAAATCCTCCACATGCATCTGAAGTTTTCTTTTATCCCGGAAATCGGCTCACTGAAATTTCTTTTCCCCTAAAATCTGCTCACTTTAGGGATTTAGGGATGACTGCTGTACCGAGTTATCATCTATGGTGCAGCTTCCAAAACCTACTATTGCCAGCCTTATATATATACTTCTGTTTCCGAGTTTTGCCAGCATTCAGCCAAGCAAAGAAAAACATAGGTACGCTTCTATATTCTCTCCTCCTATTTTGAACTGCAATTTTTTTTTAATGTTCCTACCTTCTGTTTATATTGTCTTCCGTTAATTAAAGACTGTTATGTGTTTGATGTTATGTATAAAAGAATATAATTATGATGATAATTCTTCGGATTAACTTATCTTTGCTTTTTCTTCTGTTTTTTAATTTCAAGGGTTGCCCGACTTTTAAGAGGTGCCCTGCTGTGAAGGCTGAAGCTGGGTGAAAGAGTCCAAATATCTGCGGATCCCCAAGAATGTAGTGGATGGAATACAAGCAGCATAACACAACAGATGCATTAGCAAGGTTAGCTGTGTATTTCCTAGCAAAATGGGAGTTGATGAACATTGACCTGTTGGTTCTAGAAGTGAAGTGTGATTATTTAAAATTTGAAACATATGTGTGGATGATCAACATTTGACCAACCATGTCGATATGTAGCGTCGTGTACTCGGTTATCAAAGAAGAAAGTTTTGAACTATAGTAGCCGTTTGTGTTCCACCACTGTTTTATTGCTCTAGGAGTGTTTGAAATTTTGCCGTCTACCTGAGCTAAATGCAACAAAAGAAGTGCTGGGAGCATTTGCAGTTTTTGTATTTGCCGAGAACTTGCCGTCTTTTCATCTCATTTGCGGAAGAAAACTTAAGCCAAAGATGACATCTTACCGTCACAAGTGTATTCATTTTACCACCGTTGTATTCATTTTTGAGTTCGGTTGGTGCTATTTTCTGCTGATTAAAAATAAATGTTGCTCCACCTTGATGAGAGGTTGTATTGGTAACAACTGAGAGGCGCGAGAGAGAGCTCACTACTGTGTGTATGGTTTTGCATGGTAAAATGTGGCCGCGGGTGGACGGGACGCAACAACATCCCGATGGTAAAGTAGTGCCAGTTGAGGGTCCGTCTGTTTGCTTGTAAAATAATTTCCCCAAGAAAATCTTTTCGCTGAAAATCATTTTCTTGAAAAATTTGCATTCTAATATAATTATCAGTTAGTATCTCTCTACTACTACTATAGACAATCCATGTTAAACACCACAATCAATTTGAGAGTCAAAAAACGGTAAAAAAAAAAAAAAAATCTTTTTAAAGCATTCATAGAAAATTCTATGAACAATTGAATAAGATGATGTAACCAACAATACTGTTAATTTAGATTCACTGAAACCTTTTGCAGAAGTTTGGTTTCCATTGAATAGAGTAAAACCTTTTTCTAGAAAAAAATTTTTTGGACGCTTTTTCAACCAAACATCAGAAAAAAGGGAAAACATTTTTTTGAAAAAATTTTCCATCGATACAAATAGACCCTAAGCAAGCATGTTTTGATAGCAAAATTATTTAAAATAATTTTTTTAAAAATCATTATTTTTTTAATATGATGCACGTTAAATAAAAAAATAATTTTGAACTAGTGTCCTAGGATGGAGAAAACTAATTTTTAATATCATTATCTCTAATATTATTTACCTCTTGAACCTTAGCAAATTATTCTCATTGTTACAGATTTAGTTGATCATATCAGTGGGTGGGCCGCTGCGTAGCACGGCCAGAACCATACTAGTACATATATATATATAACGTGTTAACTTATACGTTCTTGAAAGGATAGGCACTGCAATATGTACTTTGCAACTCCGGTTATTTCGACAAACATATATTTACAAATTCTCACTGCTTCCCTAGTTCAATGGGTTGCTCATTTAAGATTAGCATGACTAATCTTAGCGAGCATTTACAGCGATTCTGCAAATTGAGAAGCCTCCAGATCAAGTTCTTGTTTCATGATGCAGGTCATCAGCCAGTCACTGCCAAACGTCTGCATGCCATTCCTTACAGCTAAGAGTGCTTCTTCCATGTCCTCTTCAGATGCAATATATATTGTTTTTGATGATTCATTCACTTTTTGCATTCCAGAAACCACCTTCAAATTATAGAGGTAAGCAATAATGATTATCTCTAACGACAATTAACAAGGCCAACTTAAAAGCATAAGCAATTTCAGAAAATGTTCCAAAGCCATAACTTGTGCGAGGAACTAAAACTAAGCAGCTAAACCAGCAAACACGAAGAAGCCAATTGTTAAAGTAACAGAAGCGAAAGGAAAAGCAGCTAAGAAGAACAGATATCAGCATAAAGGCGCTGGAAGCGTAATGTAGTAGCCATCTGACACAGAATGCCCACAAATATTTCAGAAGTTCCTTCTCCTACAGCTTGAGCTTCAACTGGCACAGAATTGGTATGAAGCAAAATATAACGTGGTCTTTTTGGACTATCAGAAATTTTAGGAACAATTGGGCATGCTTAATCTGTTGAGAAAGGATAACTCAGCTGACTTACATTTCCCCCAGCAGACTTTATGATGGTCGATAGAGTGCGCATTGGGGGTTGAACATGTGCTGCGAGACATATGTCATGACCTTTAAGTAAAGAATTGGGATTTGATTTTGCTCTAAGGACCGCAGCTTTCAGCTCTACTTTATACTTGCCCTCATAATCTTCGTCTTTCAAAAGATATGGCATTTCATCTGTTGTGATTGACAAACTAATCATATATCTCCAAACTTTAAGCATATTGAAGCATCAAATTTAACATTTTGACCTACCCACAAATCTGCCTCTCCGATAACTTTCCTTTAACCAGCTAGGTGAGATAATCCAAGCTCTGCATAACAGGATACATCCAAATAAATAACAAATGAAGCATAAAAAGAAGAATTTAAAAGAGACTAAATTTTGATGGATGAAGCCATTAGAGCGTGCAAAATTAGCAAGAGAGTGTGTCGTGTACTGCAATATTATGATCTACATGACTGGGGAAAGGAAAAGTTGCAAGAAGAGTAGATCCAAGGTCAATTTTGGCAACAAAGTAGAAAATAAGCAGGCATAATTGTTTCACCAAATAATTCCATTTTTATTCACAACCTTATCTATCACCAGTGCATGTTTGCTTGTCTCTGAATTGTACAAGACTCAGGACGCCAGGTAGCTATTAGTTTTGTAATTTTCACTGATTGTTATTTGGATAACAAGCAATCAACTTGTTCTCTGCTTCATCCACTACATACTGCCATAGCATAAAATTCTCTTTAGTTTCCAATTGATCTCCAGTTCTGAGTTGATAGACATGATCCTCAGCTATTGCTACATCAATTACTACTTGACATTTCCATAGTTGCAGAGTCAATGAACAAATGGTGTCTTTGATTTTGCATGATTGTGATTTCAAGTACTGACCTGTCCTTTTGAACCTAATATCTTCGTAAAGCTTAATAATCTAGAAAGTGAATAAGAGCAAATGAATTTTGCAGAATGTCTTAAAAGAAGCAACATGACAACAAAAGAACCAGATGTAGTGCAGTGGTAAATGAACTGATCTCGACTTTCAAAAGGATTAAGTGGACAGTATGAGTTAATGAGCATGTATTCTAATGATTGCATGTCAAAACATTCAAATTCAAACTAAACTTACCCAGAGCAGAGAGCTGTGCAGAAATTCAACGTTTTTCTCACTTTCCCTGTCACTACATGTGAGCTTACTCTTCCATCAGAGATAACAATCCCGCCTAGGTCCTCAATTATCTACACCAACAGTATCAATATGGCATAAGAAGCATAAAAGCCACTTACCAAGAAAGCTAAATTCTACAAGAAGAATGAACTCTAGTCTAAGCCTTATTACATTTCTTTAGGGGAGGTGCTGAGGTTGAAAAGTGAAATAGGATAAGCCAGTATCGGACAAGGACTTAAAACTGCCAAAACTGAAAAAAAATACACCATATTGGCATCGTTTTGATTCTTTAGAAAAGAAGACCAACATTGCCAAGGGCTTTTAGATCACAGCGCCTCCATTACCGTAGAGAAAGGAAAGAAGACTTCCATCTCCATAGTTTTAGACGAACCTTACCATCCCTTCAATATCTTAAAATTATAATAGAGAGCTTAGGTGATATAATTACTCTACATTCACCATGAATTACTCATTGACTACACTGCAGTTTACCGCATCAATATTTAGGACCCTATCCTTTCAGGTCACATGACCGACTGCCCACCAGTTCTACAAGACAAACCACAGATCTGGTAGTTCAGCCTGAAATTTCAAATCTGGGCTTACCTTGGTTAAACTTGATTTTTTCTTGTCATCAGCAATATTCATTAGCATTATTTTGAAGCATATATCTGTTGACAAAAGTTTACAGCTGCCTTTATCTTCTGATGTCTCATCAATTGCTCCACATTCTACATTGTTCTTTTCCAAACAGTCATTTGCGAAAGCATCTCCACCCACCAATAATTTGTTTCCATAAAGAAATGTACTTGAATTAGAACAACATTCAGCACTTGAGCCAAAATTTCTGGGATCTGATTGACAATCAATTGCATGACCACCCTTTACTTTCTTTGAATTCATTGAGGTAAGTGAGGCTTCCCATATCCTTTTCTTTGTCCCTTGTGTTGAACACGAACATTTCTTCATCTCAAAATCCTCTCCACTTTTTCCAAACTCCGAATTGTTAGCCGTATTGATATATTCCAAAAGCTTTCCACTATCTGCATCTTGGCAACCTGGAATTTCAATGCAACTGGAGTAAGCATTTCCAAAGTACAAAAAGAATTAGGACTCCACTAATAGCCAGAGCCTGAAAGAGACAAAAATAAAAAAGAAAAGGAGAAACCCAGAAAAATATATTTATACATAAAGAAATGATGTTTTAGGCCAAACAGACACACTGTATCTTACCAAGATAGCATTTCAACAGTTAAAAGCAAAGAACAACTAAGCATGACCCTGGTCCATCTTGCATGGAAATGGTGCTAAGATTATAGTACATTGCATCCATAAATATGTTGGTCACCCAAAGAAAGATAGGATATCCTTATAAAAAAAGGGACTATCCTTACATTATCAATTCTCATAGATCATGTAGGTCAATAGCTAGTCTAACTGATTCTCCTCGAATTTTTTTGCAGTTGGCCTCAAACATACAGAAAAAAAAATCTGCGGTGGCTAGCTGCCTCATCAGATCAAGTGTTGAAAAGTTTGGCATTAGTGGATAAATCTGATAATATATTCAAGAGAAACCACTTTGCTTATTTCAGCACATTTAAAGATTGTTGAAAATCTAGAACATCTTTTTCTATGTATATCCCATGATTTCTGCTCTATTTTAGGATAGAATAATTTACTCCTAATGTATTTTAGGATAGAATAAATTAGCTCCTAATTTTTAGGAAATTACAGATTTCATGGAATTGACAAAAGTCAAATTCCATTTGTATAAATGTTGTACAGAGTCTAGAACAAAAGATATGACAGGACAATTCAGTTTTTCTTTTTGTTCATGGTATCAGAGCTTTTGCTCTTGGGACCTCTTCTTGTCAGCCTTCATTGCTGAGTGCTTTCCTCTCTTCAAGTCTTTATTGCCAAGTGCAATTTCCAGCCTTCATTGCTGATTTTTTTCATTAGGCCTTCATTGCCAATTTTTCTTGGAAACCTCCAACATGTCTGAAATTGAAACATCAGAAATCCACTCCAATACCAAATCAGAAGAGACCTCAAATATTCCACAAACAGGGGATTTGCAGAGTATCCAGGCAGCCTACAGGCTCAACGGAAAAAACTATTTGAAGTGGTCACAATTTGTTCAAACATTTCTCAAAGGAAAGGGCAAAATCAGCCACTTGCTTGGAACTGGACCGAAAAAGGGAGATCCTAAATTCGCTGCTTGGGATGAAGAAAATTCTATGGTCATGTCATGGCTGTGGAACTCCATGTTACCTGAAATAAGCGATACTTGCATGTTCCTACCAACAGCTCAAGACATATGGACTACTATTCGACAGACCTATTCAAAGGCAGGAGATGCTGCCCTAATCTATGAGATCAAAACAAAGATCTCAGCCACTAAACAGGGCAACCTTTCTGTTACTCAATATGCCAACCGTCTGCAAAATCTATGGCAGGAACTGGGCCAATATCGGTGTATTCAGATGTTGTGTAGTGAAGATGCAACCACCTTGAAAAACTTTATCGAAAAGGATAGAGTTTATGACTTCCTTGCAGGTCTGAATGTGGAATTTGATCAGGTCAGAGTCCAGATATTGGGGAAGGAAAGATTATCATCTCTGAATGAGACAATATCATTGATTCAAGCTGAAGAGAATAGGCGAGAAGTCATGTTAGAGCCTAAAACATTAGAAGGCTCGGCAATGATTTCTACAAAGTCAAATAAAGACACAATTTGGTGCACGTACTGCAAAAAATCACGCCATACGCGAGATGATTGCTTCAAACTCCATGGGAAGGAACAAGTCCTTAGTCGTAAAGGAGGATTCAAAGGGGGAAAAGCCCACTTAACTGCTGGAGAAGACCAAACACAAGAAAAATCCAACCAGACTGGTATGGGAGAATTCAAGAAAGAAGAAATCGAAAAGCTAAGAAACCTCCTAAATTCCCTTGAAAAGTCCTCTAGTACGTGTTCATTGGCTCAATCAGGTAAGTACCTTAACTCTTATGCTTTAAGAGCCTCAAGCATGTCTTCTCTATGCTCTTGGGTCATCGACTCAGGAGCTACTGACCATGTGACTCACAGCCCAATCAGATTTAGAACATACAACTTATGTCCTGGAAATAGAAAAATTACTGTTGCAGATGGATCTCCTATAACTGTTGCAGGCCAAGGGACAGTAAATCTATCAAATTCTTTATCCCTAAATAATGTGTTGCATGTCCCAAAACTGTCCTCCAATCTCATATCCATCCATCAAATTACCAAAGATCTGAACTGTAGAGTAATTTTCTATTCTCCTCACTGTGTTTTTCAGGATTTGGTTACGGGGAGGACGATTGGACTTGCTAAGGTGAATGACGGGCTTTATTACCTTGAGGAGATGAGTGGCAACGAGAAGAACAAAAATCAGTTATCCCTCACCTGCTCCTCAAATAATAAATCTGAAATCTGGCTTCATCATTTCCGTCTTGGTCATCCATCTTTTATTCTACTTAAAAGCATGTTTCCTTCACTTTCCAAGAATGAAGATGTTAGTAGTTTTCATTGTGTACTAGACCTTTCTCTTTGATACATACCGATATTTGGGGGCCTTATAGAATTTCTAGTATTTCTGGAGCAAAATGGTTTGTCACATTCATTGATGATTGTACTAGAACTACTTGGTTATTTCTTATGAAAGAAAAATCAGAAGTAAGCAGTATTTTTCCAATGTTTCATAAAATGATTTGTACACAATTTGGAAGTTTGATTAAAAGAGTAAGATCTGATAATGCAAGAGACTATTTTAATCAAATTCTCTCATCTTTTTTCCAAAAAGAGGGTATAATACATGAGTCATCTTGTGTAGATACACCCCAACAAAATGGGATTGCTGAACGAAAAAATAGAAATTTACTCAATGTGACTCGAGCAATTTTGTTTCAACATAAAATTCCAAAAACTTTTTGGGGGGAGGCTGTTTTAACTGCTGCACATTTGATAAATAGAGTACCTTCAAAAGTACAAAATAATCAAAGTCCCATTGCTGCTCTTTCTGTTTTTTACCCTGATTTTAATGTCTCTTGCACATTGTCACCAAAAGTGTTTGGTTGTGTTGCTTTTGTACATGTTCATGCACAACAAAGAGGGAAACTTGATCCAAGAGTTTTAAAATGTATTTTTGTGGGATACTCAAACACAAAGAAAGGATACAAGTGTTATCATCCTCCTTCAAAATTTTTTTTTATCTCCATGGATGTCACATTTGTTGAAAATGAACCTTACTCTCAAAGTAACAATCCTCATCCCCAGGGGGAGAGTTCTTGGGAAGATAAGGAATTTCTCCTTGATCTTCAAAGTCATACACTAAACTTAAAGTCTTTCAAGCTTGACCATCCACCAAATTCTAAAGGAGAACATACTAGCAGTGAACCTGAACCTGAATTTGAATCTGGTTTAAATTCAACTACACCACTCAAGGTCTACTCAAGGAAGAAAGTTCATATTTCTGAACCTGTGCGAATCCAAGAGTCTGAACCACAATTAGGTACTGAAAATTCTGTTCCTTTGTGTGTTCAATCTGACTCTACTCCTTGTGAATTTAACGATTTAGACCTGCCTATTGCTGTTCGAAAAGGAACACGAGAATGCACTAAGCATCCAATCTCAAATTTCGTGTCTTTCCATAGACTCTCTCCACAACATAAAACTTTCCTTACCACCATCAACTCCATTTCAATCCCACAAACACTACAAGAGGCACTTAGAAATAAGAACTGGTTACATGCTATGAAAGAGGAGATGAATGCCCTAGAGAGAAATAAGACTTGGGAAATTGTAAATCTGCCCAAAGGAAAGAAAACAGTGGGGTGTAAATGGGTGTTTAGTTTGAAATATAGAGCTGATGGTTCATTAGAAAGGCATAAAGCACGGTTGGTCGCAAAAGGATATACACAGACATATGGAATAGATTACCAAGAGACCTTTGCACCCGTTGCAAAAATAAATACTGCGCGTGTTCTTTTGTGTTTAGCCGCTAACTTTGGTTGGTGTTTACAGCAATTTGATGTGAAGAATGCATTCTTACATGGGAATTTAGAAGAAGAGGTGTACATGGAACCTCCACCGGGTTTCAATGTAATGTTTTTTGAAAAGAAAGTGTGCAGGTTAAAGAAAGCTTTATATGGATTAAAACAATCGCCAAGGGCTTGGTTCGGAAGATTTACTAAAGTGATGTTAGCAATGCAATACAAACAAAGTCAAGGAGATCATACTTTGTTCATAAAACATTCAAAAGGAGGTGTTACAGCTCTACTTGTATATGTAGATGACATCATCATCACCGGGAATGATCCAATTGAAAGAGAAACACTCAAAAAGTGCTTAGCAAAGGAGTTTGAAATTAAAGAACTAGGGAGGCTGAAGTATTTTTTAGGCATTGAGGTGGCATACTCAAGTAAAGGCATCTTAGTTTCCCAACAAAAATATGTCTTAGATTTGCTTAAAGAAACAGGCAATCTTGGATGCAAGGCAGCAAGCACACCCATTGAGCCTAACCTGAGATTGAATGAAGAGAAGGATGATAGCACAATAGATAAGGGAAGATATCAGCGGTTGGTTGGGAAACTGATATACTTGTCCCATACAAGGCCGGACATAGCATTTGCTGTAAGTGTAGTAAGCCAATTTATGCATGATCCAAGAGAGAAACACTTGCAGGCTGTCAATAGAATTCTATCCTACCTCAACGGGACACTGGGTAGAGGAATTTTGTTCAAGAAAAATGAAGGATTGCTCATAGAGGCATATACTGATGCTGATTATGCAGGTTCTGTTATAGATCATAGATCAACTTCAGGATATTGTACATTTCTTGGTGGGAACCTAGTGACATGGAGGAGTAAGAAGCAATCGGTTGTTGCAAGATCAAGTGCTGAAGCAGAGTTTAGAGCTATGGCTCATGGAGTTTGTGAATTGCTATGGCTCAAAATAATACTTGATGATCTTAAAATCAAGAGCGAAGGACCTATGAAACTCTATTGCGACAACAAGTCTGCCATCAACATTGCACACAATTCAGTGCAACATGATCGCACAAAGCACATCGAAGTTGATAGACATTTTATTAAAGAAAAACTGGACAGTGGCATGATTTGCACTCCATATGTAGCATCAAATAATCAATTGGCAGATATCTTAACTAAGGGAATGCCAACTTCCAACTTTGAAGACATTACATGCAAGATGGGAATGGAAAATATCTATTCACCATCTTGAGGGGGAGTGTTGAAAATCTAGAATATCTTTTTCTATATATATCCCATGATTTCTGCTCTATTTTAGGATAAAATAATTTACTCCTAATGTATTTTAGGATAGAATAAATTAGCTCCTAATTTTTAGGAAATTACAGATTTCATGGAATTGACAAAAGTCAAATTCCATTCGTATAAATGTTGTACAGAGTCTAGAACAAAAGATATGACAGGACAATTCAGTTTTTCTTTTTGTTCAAAGATACAGGAGAACACCAGGGTTTCATAGGGGGCATGATTAAATTCAAACTTACAAATTTAATATTCTTTCCAAAGGTATCACTAAGAGGATGCCAAGGGCACAAGTAATAAATTAGTCATTGAATCATTATGTAGGCATTGAACCTTCATGTCTGTATATATATACTGTTTTAGGAAACATAAATGCATTTTAGATGAGTACACATAAATAATGCATGTAAGGATACACAGAGAACAAGACGAGAGATTTCACTTACCATCAAATAGAAATCTCTCGATAACAAGATTTTCAGCTTGAGAATATGCTGTGCTGCTGATTAATTGATTCCCTCCCTCTGAATGGCCAGACTCCTCTATGCACTCTGGTTGCAGCTTCTGAACAACATCAGATAAATGATGCTTCATGGGAAGCTTTAGTGGATACAACAGCTTTATCTGCTCTGCAGGAACAGGTGAACTGTCATTAAGGTGAGATACCATAAGGGTAGAACCACCAGGGAAGCACAATGCCTTTCGGATTTCAGCCTTGATAGGCAGTCTCCGTGCTCTGCCCTTTGTGTTGACCTCTCCAATCACCACAAAACCCTGTTTTTGAATCCATCCTCACAAATCAATTTCCAAGAATAAGTGAAGCATTGATTTTTGCAAAGTTGCCCAAGACCATATACATTGAAAATAGAAGAAAACATAAATGCGAGAGAATATATCTAGGCAAGGAGGTCCTCTTCCCTGGGAGAACATCGCAGAATATGGAGATTGATGAAAGCAACTCAATAGCACAAGCAAGCAGACAGATAAACCCAAATATCAAGCATCCGTTCTCCTGGATATACCTGTTTCAGCCAAAATCCTTCAGACTCCTGATCCCCCCAACATAAAATTGTGCGGATGCCTACTTTCTGCAGTCTGTTTCTCAATTCCATGTACAGAAGGCGACCAATCCCCTAAATAATGCTTAATTATCAGCAACCATTTGAATGCAAGACAAGCCCAAAGTATTAGCACAACAGAACTGAACTCACTAGCAGCATGAATTTCAATTTGAATTAGAAAAATAGGAATGTCTTAAACATAAGTAGATACAGGAGAATAATGTAATTGACAGGAAATCCAGATCTTAAAATAAAGTGTAAGATAATAGGAGAAAAAGTTGCAGCAGCTAACCACTTCTTAGTTTTATGTACTTATCCCACTACACAATCTCCAACTAAACTTCTAACACCACCATCCACCACCCACCCACCATCCAAAATTCTCTCCCCAAGGAAATATGGGGAGAGCATAATTTAGCCACATGGTTCTTAAAGGGACAGACCACTTTGGAAAAGACCGAAAGATCAAACCAAGAAAAGTAGCAATACCAACACTGACACCTGGTGATAGATTTACAGAACAAGCAGATAACCTTTTTCTGGTACATTGAACTGACAGCGGCTAATGGAATTTCAGCATACTGTGTATCAGCAGGGACTATTTGATAAGTGATAGCAGAAAGAACCTGTCAAAATTTGAGATTGTCAAAAGAAGTTAACTTTTTTAATAGATAAGTTATTAACAATTGAATGAGTCAGTTATTCAAAGGATTTGGTTTATTTACATGACACGCCTAAATAAAATCTTTAACTGCTTTAATAACCATGCACATAAGAGTTAAAATATATAAATAGTCTTGTGAGTTTAGTCATGACAATATTCTCTAGCATTTGTCCCACTTTTGTGGGTTGTAATCACACACACCCACACATTTGCAGGAGAGAGAGAGAGAGAGAGAGAGAGAGAGAGTTAGAAATACTGCCATTTGAGCAATAAAAGCTGAAGCCAGTGGCATGCAATTGAGCATTATAGTTACTCTGCTTAAAAGAGTTGCTAGTAAATGGAGTCCAGCGATTAATGTTATACCTCTCCTAGTTGGTCATTAGACTTGCATATAAGAAGTAATGTGCAGTACTTCCTGCAAAAGTCAAACATGCAGAAACTTCTCTGAGAAACAGAATGATTTCAACTTCCAATCAGCAGATATCCAAACACATAGCAAATTCCAAAAAAATGTCTGCAAAGATACTAGTACATAATTTTAGTAGTGTGCGTAACCAACAGGATAGAAAAGAAGTTAACACATGCAGGCATAGAACGTAAACATAAAAGAACAGGGATGGGTATCATCTTTTACCCGTTTGATACACATCTTTCAAGAAACAATGATTCCTTCCCAGTATTAGCTGCAAATTTCATTGCTGGAAGCTCTTTTGAGTACATGTCGAGTACTTCCTGAAACAATGGGCACATACTAACATACATCGTAGATGGAAGTGCGAATTTGGTCAAAATTAGAGTCAGCGTAGGGGCACAACATTCTTCCAGTATGAATCCACAAAAAATAGGTAATCATACAAAGAATAGTGAACAGACTACAAAGAAGGCTATAGAATCAAAAATCAACCACAATAATTTGAAAAGACCACCTACACCAACTTCCTTTGAAATTTTGCAAATTACGGAAAGCCAAAATATGAGTAGCATCTTCAGAAAACATGGCGAGAACTGAAGATGACAAAGCACAGCTTTAGCAAAATGTAATTCACAGCCCCCAAAACCAACAATTATAAATGATGAAGTGCCTAATAATCATGTGTAAAGTAGTAACTTTAGCAAGTAAAAGGCCAAAATCTGTGGATTAGTGAGTGGTATGCCACATCAAAATGTTATCTCCCAAGTCAGCAGTCATAGCTTGAATCAAATCCAAGATAAAAGTCTTTTTTACCGCTTTACGATTATAACCGCCAAACCATGCATTTTTGCGGAAGAAAAAAGAAAAAGAAAAATCACCCTTAATTGTTTATCCATGCTCAGCTCTAAAATTTCTCGTTTATTTTATTAGTGCCCCTCAAGGACTCACCACATTTTCTGCACACTTTAGCATTTCTTATGTTATATTGTTCAAAAATCAAAATCTACTTCCAATAGTAAGGACGTAAAAACAAAAAGTTAAAAAAACTTTAGCAAAGAGGCAACTTTTGCATATAGGTTAATGAAACCAAAAAAAAAAAAATCTAGTAGAGTAAATGAACAGCATGAAAATGTGAATTGAATGTGATCGTTACCTGAAGCAAATACTTGGTTTGGTCGCCTGAATCTTTAGGGTTCACAAGCACGAAATAGTACCCACCTAATCAACATTACTTAAAATAATCACTGGGCACAAAAACGATTTTTTTTCTATTTTTCGAACAAATTCAAAATAAACAAAAATTACCAGAAAAAAAAGGATATTGGAGTTTGAATCCCTACCATTTTTTTCAGATCCAGAACCTGGAGTATCGTCAATCGTATTTTCACATTTCGCCGCCTCCATCACTGCCAAGAACAGCACCCAATCACTATCGTCACAATAATAACAGTAACAATAACAATATAGCTACCAAAAGAGTAAAAAATGATAGTAACAGATATCAAAATGATGGCGACGATACCTGAGACTTTAATTTTGACATTTTTCGAAAGAATGATTTGGAGGCTATTTTGGTTCGATTCAGAGGTAAAACTCCTAGCTTCCACGACAACCTCGCAATTTCCTGTGGGGATTGAAGAGAAAATTAGAACAATTAGGGTTTCAGACTTAGAAATTAAGCAATAGAAATGATTCCTTTCTGTTATCTACCGATTGGAATCGGAGCAGGGGTGAGACGAAAGGGCTTCCGTTTTGGCGCCATGATTTTCCAGCTTTGAAAATGTGATCCAAGGAGGGAGTGGGAAGAGGGTATTTATAGTTGGGCAAGAGCGGGCTAAGAATGTAACTTTAGCTAAAATCTGAGGCTTTTTTGGTCAATTGGATTGCTAGCAACAAAAAATTGGCGCCTTCGTATTAAGCACGCCTATGTGTAAGTGGACGACTTAAGGGGGTGTTTGGCGAGTTGGAATTAGCAATAGGAATTATGCGTTTTCTATTGTTGGATTTTCTTTTTTCTTTATTTCGGTTTAAAAAAAAAAAGAGAGAAAAGGAAGCAACTTCCGACTAGCATAACAAACCCGTCCTAAGGAAAATCATAAAAGTTTCCACTTGCGGCAGAGTTTTTTTTTTTTACTATAAAAATTATTTAACTTTTATGGGCTAGTTCGTGAGTCATGATCACAATTTCACCAAAATTTAGTAGGTATGGGAGTTTATTTGACAAAAAATTAGTATAGCAATTTTTATAATGTAATGTATATAAAATAAAAAGGTTAGTAGAAAGATAAAAAAAATATGTGTTAAAAATGTTTCTGTGATACGTGCGAATAATCTTTGTGTAAATAATAACTATCCAAACCCATCTTGTTGTCCTCTGTTACTGACTTAAGCAAGTCTAACCATCAATTCACGTTGTAATAAAATCCTCACTAATAAGGCTAGTCTAGTGAAGTCATTTTTGAAGATAAAAAAAAAAAAAAAAATTTCTCACTACAAAATCATAAAATCGAAGGAAATTCTCGTCACAAAATCTTCAAAGAGAATAAATTTATTTCATAACTAAGGCTTTGTTTGGTAAGCAAGTTTTTGGCCAAAGTTTGTCTGCTACAAGTTTAGCTATAGTAACCTCAAATTAAAAAACTTCTCAAAATTTTTAAACTATACATTTCAAAATATCCAAAAATTTACACACTTCAAAAATCTTTTCTACAACTTCTACAGTAAGTTACAGTAAAGTTTTAGACAAACACCCAAAAAAACTCTTCAATTGTCAAATGGGGCCTAAAGAAGAAAAACCAAGAATGAGATAGAAGTTTTTAGGCTACGAGTGAAGAGGAAAGAAGTAGAGAGGAGGAGGAGAAAAGGGGTGGGGAGGAAATTGACAAGTTCCTACCACAAGTTTTCTGCCTCGCAGCATTAGAGATGAAAATTGATGAGTTTGGCAAAACTATACCAGTGACTACTGGAATATTACCAATGACTATTACTTTTGAAGGTTACTTCTAGTAGCTATTAAACCAGCCATGACAAGCAGCAAAAGTTATTGTTAATATAAGCCACTGCCAAGTCCAAATTTGAACATGCATGCACAAGTCAAGAATTTATAGAAAATGATGAAAATAGTAATCAGTACAATTTAATTTGTTGGGAGAGATTTTGCAAATAAAAGAACAAATATCTGGCTCTCTCATACTGATATTGTTGGACAATGTAAACGTTTACAATAAAGATTAAAGAGTTGCTCATCTATCCCTCGTAAGCAGCCTGGAGTGGTTCACAATTTTTTTCCTAAATGGTGGTTAGTGATAAATTCATTCCTTTTATATAATGTTTTTAATTTCAATATTCCATCCTTAATTTAGTTTTAATTTTCTATCATCATTTGATTGGGATGAAAGAAGTCAAAACCGGGGTGACTTTGTCATTGTTCAAATTGTGATCAATATGCGGTATTTAAAGTTAATATTTGTCTAATTGAACTCTTGTTGGGTAAATTAACCCCAGAAGCACATAATTGAGGTTCTCTATTTTTCCTGCAGCTCTCTTCCTCATTAAATTGTGTTTTAATTCTTTCCCCACTTCACTATTAATAGTATTTTGGTAGGAAAGAAATTATTGTTCTTGGCCGGTCCAGTTATTTTTTTTCCTCCAAAAGTGTGAAGAAAAATTTTTTTTTTTTTAAAAAGGGATTTAATCAGCTAGTCTAGCAGTCAGGTACAGGAAATAGGAGAAGAAAAAATTTTATAGTAATATTGGAATAATGAGTAATATTTGTTTTCTAACTTTACCTTTTTCCAATAGTTAATTTATAGTAAAGAATTAGAAATTATCTCATTAGGCATTTGCTTTCTGAATAAGAATTAGTTTCGCCCCTTCATCCTTTTCTTTATTTTTGGTTGCAAATTAGTGATCCTGGTTCGTGTGAGCAAAACAGCCTTCGATTCCTGAAGTTTTTCTACTTTTTTTTTTTTTTTTTTTTGACGATCAGCACTGCATGATGTTATTGGTATTTTGGAATCATTAATTACTTTAATTGCCTTTCTTGTTAGAATTTATTCTCTTCTTCTTTCTCTCCCCTTTATTTTGTTTAATTGAACACTTATTGGAAGATGCTGAGATTTCCTGTTTATGGGACTAATATCTTCTTTAATTACCTACATTATTTTAGGCTTGTAACTATGTCCTTTCTATTATTATTCTCTCTTGGTATCTCATATTTTTCCACCTCTTATAAATGCTTGTACAAATGTTATTTATTTATTTATTTTTACCTTTCTCGCCTTCTTCAATTGTGAGGCCAGAATATGAATCTGGCCGCATGAATAAACTTTAAGAGCCTTCCCCTGATTACTGGACCAACTCAAGATGTTTTCTCTATAATAATACCTCCTTTTTCACGTTGTTTTGCTTGTTAAGGCTCATCATGTGTCTCATTAAAGTATTTGGATCCATTGTCCAAATGTACCCGTTTGCTTTTTTATAGAAATATATTCTTTGTGTGTGGATTTCTTATATTGTTAATTGCTTTTTTTTTTTTTTTTTTTTTGCAGGAACTTTCACAATCATGGTCATTGCTCGGTATGCCAACTAATCTCTCTACCATGATCACACTACACAGATGGATGTACATAAACATTATCACTCGTGATCAATTTTGCATATCAGCTAATGGTTGGCTATGACTTCAACCTAGCTAGTTATTTGAGACAGTTTTTTTTTTTTTCTTCTTTCTTTTTCTGTGTAGAATGTAAGGTAGGGATAAGATGGCAACATAATTGTTTGAATTTTGATTTTCCAGAAAGAATTGTTGAAAATTATAAAAACTGTATTGCACAAATTGTGGGTTATTGCTTGATGGTGCATGGCAGGTTTCGGTTTGGGGCCTTTGGGTCATCTTAAATCGGCTGCTGGGATTTTCGTGATTGTGAGCCATTTCATAGCAGACACGAATTATAGAGGCCAGTTGAATGCAATTGATCTTTAAGCATATCTCTTGTGTTTGCACATACATTTTATGCTAAACATATTAATATTTTTACATAATAATATCGCATGATAAAAATATGATTAAAAAATATGTCTGAAATTTTTTGGTAACAATCTTTTTGTATTTCATTCCATCCAAACGAATCAGTAATAAGTAGCTAAATGTCTATATTCTATTTACTTTTTTAAGGTGATAAATATTTGCCATGTTTACCAAATGTTCCACAGGCACAAGCAAGTCAACAGCCCGGCTGATGTAGCAAAAACAACTATTGCTCCATTAACATGAAACAACTGGTGCTGCTTACTTCTTTCCTCCACGCTTAGTTTTATCTTTCGAGTACTGATGGCAAAGTTAGCGCATGTTGCAAACGCTAGGGCTTATTGTCACCGGGTGTATCTAAAATTCTTAGGCGTTGTTTAGATCATGATTTTCTGTAGAAAAATCTTTACGTTTTCTGTAACACATGCATTTCCTTATATTATATAAGATTGAGTTTTGGTGAAAGAGGGGGTTGCATTTCAACCGCATAGGCAGGGACTTTTTGGGAATGTGAAATATTTTGTAGTGTTTTATAATCTATAGGTACAAGTGAGGGAAGCTTGTGGTTAGATATATTAATCGAAATACCTTTATTCATAGACATTTAAAACTTTATGTTGTTGAAACATCTGGGTATTGATGACATGCGCAATTAATCTGCAACCATTTGTTGCTTTTGGTACAACACACATAAACTTGTGGGTTTGTGAAATTACTTAAATGGCCTTCACATATCATAAGTGCGGTCATTACGAAAAGAAAAAGTCATGACCATAAATACGGCAATTGAATCACACGGTCATTACTGAAATGGCCTTCACACATCATAAGTGCGCCACTTGACTAGTGATCACTGAACTTGGAAATCACTTGTATAAGGAGCTCACAAGTGAAAGGGAATAAGAAAGACCAACCTTGCTCAACCGTCACCGTGGTTAGAGCTCAGGTGTGGAAGCACCTCCTTTCAGACCTCCTTCTCTATCATTTATACCTGAATTTAATGGCCAGAAATGTGGGCCTACTAATGGCTCCTGAGCTTCGGGGATTGTTTCTCTAGCAACCTTTGTCTGAAACAGAATGCCGCATCGTTTCCCCTCTCACTCGAGCTTATGAGCGAAACACTCCATTTCTTTCTCATTATAGCCTCAATTAAATAGCCAGACGTTGGTAAGTTAATGCCCAACGGCTCGGTTATAATTGTTTCCATGCCTCCTCTTCACCTTCTTCAGTTTCAACCTTTTCATATTTTGGGATTGGAATATTTTTTTATGCCCTTATACTGCATAAATCCTAGACATGGAAACAATCACCGCCCACTGAAGCAGGAAGTTGCAGAGGGCCCGACCGACAATTTTTACGAGGGTCATTAACTTAATTTGGGATTTGATGAGGCTTTCACTTGGCCTCTGCTTCATTTTAGTCCCATGATTTCTTCATTCTGCTACAGCTTGTCCTTAATCACCTTTTATTAGTAAGTTAATGACTCACTCACTTGAAGACCGATCAAATGTGGACATTAGCAGCGCATAGTCCTTCACCACAGAACTCCCACGGCTTACTTGCTTCCTTAAGCCAAAAGCACCAAGAGTAGCTATTCCGACAAGAAAAGGCACCAACATCCTTGCGTTGCCTCCACTTTCAATTTCAGCAGTCAGAGTAGTTGAAGCAGGAAGTCGCGGAAGGCCCTCGATCATGTATGTTCTACACTCATCATGTAGATGCTGAAGTTGGGA